ACATGCTGGAAAATGGCATTATAGAGCCCAGTAAAAGAGATTGGTCTTCAACTTGTGTACTGGTCCCTAAGTCTGATGGTTCGGTTAGATTCTGTACAGACTTTCATAAAGTAAATATTTTGACAAAGATAAGTTCGTATCCCATTCCAAGAAAGGAAGATTGTATTGATAAAATTGGAAAGGCCAGATATATCACAAAGTATGACCTACTAAATACTGGTCTGTTCCTCCAACTGACAGGGCAAAAGAAATATCTGCTTTTGTTACTCCTGATGAGTTATACCAGTACAATGTAATGCATTTTGGGATGAAAAATTCTCAAGCAACTTTTCGGCGAATGATTAATCAGTGCCTCAACAATCTGTCAGATGTTGGAATTTATGTTGATAATATTGTGATTTCCAGTGACACATGGGAAGAACATTTATGTGTATTACGTGATGTTTTTTGAAAGGTTTAAGAAAGCCAGTCTCACCGTAAATTAGGCAAAAGGTGGCTTCTGTAAAACAAGAGTTATTTACTTAGGTCATGTAGTAGGTCATGGTCAAGTTTCTCTAATTCAAGCCAAAGTTTATTGCATTGTGAATTATCCAAATCCTACCAACAAGAAAAGTTTGATGAGATGTTTGGGAATGGTTGGTTATTACAGGAAGTTTGTAAAAATTTTGCTGATATCACTGTACCATTAACAAACCTTATGAAGAAAAATCAAAAATTTAAATGGTCTGAAAAATGTCAAATCCTTGTTGTGCACTGTATTGATGGCACCTGACTTTGATAAGCCTTCGCAATAGCTGTTGATGCCAGCGATTGTGGTGCTGATGCAATTCTATTACAATCAGACGACAAAGGTATTGAATACCCTGTTTGTTATTTTTCTAAAAAGTTTAATTGTTACTAAAATAATTATTCTACTGTAGAAAAAGAAACACTGGCTCTAGTGTTAGCTTTAGAACATTTCAATGTGTATGTATCTGCATCAAAACAACTTATTGTCATTTACATTGGTCATAACCCATTAATGTTTTTGAACCAAATGAATTTCAAAAACAGAAAACTATTAAACTGGAGTTTATCATTACAAGAGTATGAGTTGAAGATAATCCATGTCAAAGGGGTTGATAACATTTGTGCTGATGCACTTTCACGTGCTATATACTTTTATGATCATAAGGTCATTTGTATTGGTTGTGTTCTACACTGTAATTATTATTGAAGTTATGTAATCCTTTGAATAATGTATTATATTGAATGTACTGATGTCAATGTTTATATATATAATATTTTAGTTAAAAATTGGCGTTAGACAATTTTTAATTCTCTAGGGAGGGAGTTGTGACGGATTTATTATATATTTATTTTAATATCATCGTTTGTTC